ATAACCATTTATTTCCTCATTCTTTCATCATTTTATAGGTTCTTTCTTTCTCCATTATCATTCATCAATTTTCATCATGTTTAACAACCTATTGTCTTCCAAATCTGTTTCCCAGAGTAAGACTATTAATGCTGTCTGTCTTGTGGACAGACATTATTAAAATCTTTCAAAAAGACATCTGTGAACATTGTATCCTACACTCTACCCATGACATCTTGGTTACCTTTTTGTTCACCCTGTTTCCTTCCTCTTGACTACCTCTCCTCATCAACTAAACATACTATGGTCTCTCAACGTTAGTAAAAATAAGTTTATTGGCAGTTTCCTTTGCCTGGTTTAAGCATCATTTAAAACTTACAGTATAGTATTTTCTGGCAGATCTACTGAGGAAGGCATTTTGCCATTCTTGTAGTCCAGCTCTAGGTTTGTATGTGTGAACTTGTACAGAGATAGGTGGGAATGATGTAAATTTAGACCAAGATAGCACTCATCCCATCTTTGTCTTTAAACATTGCTTAACACAGTTCTGGAGTTTTGTGACAATATCTCAAGAAACACTGAGAAACAGAGTGAAGAAGAGAGTTTGAGAGAAGAGGAAGGAGACTCTGCTTTACAGACTGTGTATTTGTTGAGGAGAGGGGGGAAGCGGGACGTGGAAATCTCCTAGATAGTAAAATCTCCTAGATAGTAACAGATTGAAAATGAGTGAGGTAATGATATTATTTCTAGAAGTCAAGCCATTCCTAATAGAAGTTTTGAGAAATTCAAAATCAGGGTGAGATAGTCTAAGAATAAGAGGAACAGTAACACGGGGAATGAGTAAATGACAAACCTGACAAATGCTCTCAGAGGCAGATTGCTGTGTTTCCTTGAATCGTTCTTTTCACTTTTTCAATTCTTACCTCAAGACCTGTTCTCTTCTCATTAGCACCTTCACCGGAGCTGGAGCTGGAGAAGAGAAAGGAAGTGTTCAGACATGTGCCTATTTGCATAGTCACTTCACTGAGTTAATGCCAGGACAGTGCAAATATACTGTCCAATTCCATAGAAAAGCCAGCTTTCACTCCATCACTAAGATATTATTCTGTTTTCTCTCATAGAACAGTTTATTACCAGGCTTCTCTTAACTGTACATTATAAATGGTGTCTGATTAAGAATGTTCTGGATGGGTTAATTAGTGTGGTGACTATTATTAAGCAAACTGCTTGTTAGTATTATGCCTATTTGATCTTGGTATTGATGTGAAGTAATTGACCATAGAGCTACATTTAGAAAAGCTAAAATAAAGTTTTCTTAATTTATATTATGGCAATAAATTGTTTATATTAAACATGTCTATAAAAATAGGAGTTTCATGGCACAGAGGACCAGAAAAGACTGTATGGGGTGGTGGATGGGGATTATTTTGTTTTGTCTTTAGAAATATTAATACATTTGTTCAGTTGGCTTCAAGACCAACTCTATTTAAACAAGTTAGTAAAAATTATTCCAGTTTCTGCTTTTATTATTGCTGCAGAATATATAAAAACTAAAGTGTTTTTTAACTTCTCAGCTAAAGAATGTGTCTTGTTAACTTCAATTAATTACTTAAATACTACTTTTAGTGATGACCACTATAATAAATAGACTATTAAAGAAAAATATGAAAATATACTATAAACAAGGGAACATATAACTTGTAGCCACCTTCTTGAAAGAACTGGATTGTTATCTATTTTATTTATTGGTATTTTGTCCAGTTCTATTATTAAGTTTCCCTAGCTGTAGAATTTCCATGGGGAGTTTATTCCATGAGCTAATAAATTATACCGTCAAGGAGTTTTTCTTAAAATTCAGCTTAAATTTTCCCATTCTTAATTTCATCTCATTACTCCTAGTTATATACCCCCTTGTACCATGCTAAATAATTATTCTTTTTCCTCAGAGACTCCTATTATGTATCCCTCTAGTTGTCACTTCACCAGGCTATTCATACTTAGCTCCTTTAATCTGTCCTCATAAATCAATTCTTCCATTGCTTTAATCATTATTATTGCTTTTCTCAGAACTCTGTAATTTTCAAACATATACAGTTCTCTGGGGCCCCAATGAAATCAGCATTCATGCAGTGTTCTCTACATACCCCATGTCTTCCTTCCCTGTACAGCAGGATCTGGAACTCAGTGGCATCAATTTTCTCTAGGTCAACTAGAGCTTGCTCACCTTGTTAAACTCAGAAAAGTGTAAATGGTGTTCTTCCTGTGACCATCTTACAATCAAGGTTCATTCTGATTTTTTTTTCTATTCATGAGACGTGTGAGCTGTTTTATTTGCTGTCCCTAGTTAGATTCTCTGTCGCCTATTTCCTTGTTCTTTACCACCTATCAAGTCAGTTGTCTGCAACCTGTGCAACCTGGCTCTTAGTCACCCTTGAGAACACTTAGGAAATATGTTGAATAAATGTAAGCCTAACACCTTGCCCACAGCTAAATTCTTCGTCAGTTACCAATTCCATTGTTTACAACCCTTTAGCCAATCTCCCGTCTCTTTTAATTTGCAATTTTGCTCACATGCTGGCCACTACAAATGGATTTTATGACTAAGATGGGTCATGATACTATTTTCTAAAATGAAGATATATTGTTTCCGTGTCCATTGATTTTTTTTTTTCATGTGAATCATTTGCATACTAAGTTTGTAATTCTCTGAAAATCTTTTTCTAATCTTGCCTGGCATTTTTTGTCTGATATAAACAAATAGGTAACTTCACTTGTTTTATTGTTGTTGGTCAGATATATACTCTTTCTTTTACCATTTTTTCTGTTTCTTTGGGAGAAGCTAAAGCTGTTATCATACTCACTTCATTTTTACCCAATTTGGTGATCAAGAGGTTTTATTAAATGTATTTTAGTTCCTTAGAATCCCCTCAGTATTTTTAATTTTTTTTCAAGAAGGAAATTGATATTTTTTTTGATTTTTGGAGATGATCAGTAAAAAACTACAATCCATAAACACCTTGGTTTCTTCCCAATTTAAATCAAGGGCTTACTATAGCATACTTAGTGTATTATTATCATTCTTTGTATTTTGTCTCTGCATACAGTCATTTGTTTATTGCTTGGGCATTCAGATATATTCCCTTGGTTTTTCTCCAACTATTTGGAATTAGAAGATACTTTGTGCCTCATAAACCAAGCAGAGAAGTCCCCAAAGCCAGCTTTCTTACTCTACAATGTACATGATGTGCTATATACAGCCAAAGACTGTCTAGCTCACACAAATTCTGTGCTTCTCCTTAATGTCCTTCCGCAGCCCTTGATTGGCACTCGTTTGTAACTTCTTTCCCTGTCATATGAAACCAGTTTCATCCTTAGCTCACATCCTCAACCCCATCTCAACCTCTGTTTTCTTCACTTAAAAAAGAAACCTGATCTAATGTCTTAGTTACACAACTCCTTAAATTCTATACCTGCTACCTGAAACCATTTAGGGCTTTTATTTTTGCTTTGCTTCATTTTTCCCCTTCCTCCAGTTTTGTAAAAGAAGCTAGGTTTATTCTCCTTTACAAGGCCACATATTCTTTCCTACCCCAAGAATCCTGCTATCTAGCACAGATTTTACAATTTTGTTACTTCCATCTCCCAAGATTTTCCTGTCTCTTCAGGATCCCTCTACCCTCCCTAGCAAGAGTCCTCAGGTGAATATCCCTATGTCCTATCAAACTTGGCTTCCCCACTCCCTTCTCACCCTCTCCCCTTCTCTGCTTTTCTCTTTTTCCTTCACATACCCTAACTTTCTACCAGGTTTCTTCCTGTACCACTCGAAAGGGGCTTAGGAGTACCTAGAACACAGTTGTGGCATCCATATTGTGCTCCTTCCTTGGGTTTCCTTCCCACCAACCTCTTAATATACACTCCACATTTCTTCACTTACAAATTCAGGCAAAGGCCAGATCTCTGCATAGGACTTGGGAACTGAGAAAATGCTATTTTGTGTGGACCATTCTTCCAGACTGCACCCCAGCCTCTTTGGGTTGTATGTTATTCCTAGAATAGTTAATATTTCCACACATAGTTCATATTCCATTTTATCTCAATTTTCACTCAACTCTACTTGAAAAGAACTTCACTAGGACCCTCTGTAAACTTTTTTATGGATGCCAACTCAGAATTAATCTCTTCATCTTCCTAATTTCAAAAGTTGGAGTGTCCAGCATGCATGCATGCATGTATGTATGTATATATGTATGTATGTATGTTCTAATCAATATAGGCTTATAATCCATTCTTGCATGTCTCTTTCACTCTGTTTTAAGTGGTCTTGATTTGTTTCATGTAGACAGAGAACTCTTTTAGGATGGATCCTATGTATATGTATGGCTTACATATTTTAGGCTAGATTTGATTTTTTTAAGAATTTTACTTCATTTAGATTAACTATTAGTAAGTAACAGACAGTGAACTCTAAATGTCAAGATGTTATGGGAGGACAGGGGGAAAATGATAATGATAACTTATTAAAATATACTCCAGAAAATATTAGCAAGGTCAGTTTAATAAAAGGACACACAGGTGCCCAGGCATACAGAGCAGTATGTGAGCAGAAGTGGCATGGCTTGATCAAGAACTTGCAAGCATTCTTTTTTTTTGCAAGCATTCTTATGGGATATTGAGTGAGTGCTCTGGGCCATGCAATGATTAGCAAACCCAAAATAAAATTCAGAAAGTTGAGTGAGAAAAGATTGATGAACTACCTCTGTAGTTTTGGATTTTATGATATATTAGCACAGGTTTCATAGTGGTAGAAACTCTTTGGAATCCATTCAAAGACAGTTTTATCCTATTGCAAACCTTTAGACTTTTTCTTGGTGCATAATACTTGTTGCATTTTTGCTATAAATTTTGTTTTAGCATCCTTCTTTCCTGTTTCATACTTAGACATTTGTCCTTATAGGAAGGTAAGGGACAAGTTGTACATATTTTTTTCATCAAAAGCATATTGCATTCCCTTTTTGTGACAGATTCATGCCCAAGCACAAAATAGCCCATTTACAGAAGATGCTCAGCCTTAACGGAAATGGCGGTGCTACTCTATCCATGGCCCATCCTTCCCAACCAAAACGGAGAGATTCTGAAAATTTATTGGAGAATTTTAATTTAGAGTGTGATGTACACTCTGGCCTCAATACTGCACAAGAAAACCTGGACAGCTCATCAATGCAGGAATCAGACTTTAAAAAATCTAACTCGACAGATAATTCAAGCTCTCTTCCTGTGGAAAAGAAAGAGAATCTGACTCATAATCCTTGTGACATTTTGGGTGGAGCCGATGATCAGCCACAACCATTGCACATTGTCTGGCCTCACAGGTG